ATGGCATATCTTTTTCCATCCTTCTACTTTTAATATTTTTTTTTTGCCTTAGAATGTGAGATAGGGCGCTTTAGATGACGTGCTAAGATTTTGCTTTCTTATCTGACAATTTCTGCCTTTTGATTGAGGTGTTTAGACCATACACATTAAATGTAGTTATTGACATGGTTGGGTTTACATTTTCCATTTTGCTGTAGTTTTAATATGGTTCCTGTCCTTTTTTTTTTTTTTTTGAAGCTTATTTTATTTTTGAAGTTTATTTACTTTGAGAGGAGAGGTGGTGAGTACAAGTGGGGGAGGGGCAGAGAGAGAGAGGGAGAGAGAGAATCTCAAGGAGGCTCCACCCTGTCAACGCAGAGCACAACCCACTTCTTTATACCCCGAATCATGATATTACCTGAGCTGAGATCAAGAGTCAGATGCTTAACCAACTAAGACATCCAGGTGCCCCCATCCCTCGGTTAATTTTCTGATTGTACTTTTCAGCTCCAAAATTTCCACTTGAATTTTTTTATAATCTCTCTCTACTTGTTGAGAATCTATTTTTTATTCATTATTGTCTTTCTTTCCTTTAATTCTTTAAATAAGGTCACCTTTGGTTCACTGAACATATTGGTAATAACTGCTTTGAAGTATTTTTTAATTCTAACATCTACAGACACTCAGATAGTTTCCCCTATTTCTTTGTATGTCTCATAATTTCTTGTTGAAAATTGGATATTTTAGATCATTTATTGTAGCAACTCTGGATTCTGATATTTTGTTTCCCCTAATGGTTGTTGTGATTTTGTTCATTTGATTGTTTCTTTGTGTAGTAATTTACTTAAACTAAGTACAGTGACACCTGTCTCCCTTGTGAAAAACGGCACTGATAAATCTGGCTGTGTTTGTTTGGTTGGTTTGGTTTGGTTTTTTTAATATTCTTGTTTTGAGTTTTACATTTGGCTTTCTAGGACTTGTTCCATTGTCTATGTATCTTTAATTTTAAGCTGATTGTTGGACACATCAAAGCAACCAGTCTTATGTAATCTACTCATGGATCTCTGTATTGATAGAGGAATACATTGAAAGTTTAAACTGTTTTCAGGTGTGTTATAGCTTTTACTTTCTGCTGGGCTTTTTCACATTTGCTTTGTGCATGTGCATTGAGCTTCAGGAATATGTGACTAGCTTTGTTTTTCTGTGGTCTCCATTACACATCCTCTCAGCCTTAGTTGAGAATATATCTACCCCAGTTATGACCATCACATTGGACCAATGGAGCTGTTTACTCTTCCTACTTGCCTGCTTATAAGATCATCACTTCCACTGAAACACTGCTGGACATGGGCATAACCTACCACTCAAGATCAAGTTAGCACTATTTGACTGCAACAGAGATGTTTCCAGTCTAATGATCTTCCTTACCCTGGAAGAACCTCTCTGCTGACTGAGTTGTGGTTGATGGTGATTAGAGGCCAGACCAGAATGTAACAGGGTCTTAGTGTTCTTTCCCAAAGATTAGCAGTCTTTCAAACATAAATGCTTCTCAAATTGTTACATCCTTTTAGTCAATTTCTAGGGCAGTGAAATGATAGTATTTGTCAATTTTGTCTGACTCTTTAGTTTATTTTTAGAAGAATATTTGCTGGGGGCACCTGGGTGGCTCAGTCGGTTAAGCATCCGACTTCGGCTCAGGTCATGCTCTCACGGTTCGTGGGTTCGAACCCCACATCAGGCTCTGTACTGACAGCTAGCTCAGCCTGGAGCCTGTTTCAGATTCTGTATCCCCCACTCTCTCTGACCTTCTCTTGGTCATGCTGTCTCTCAAAAATAAATAAAAAACATTTTTAAAAAACTTTAAAAAGTCTCTTATTGAAAAAAAAAAAGAATATTTGCTGATTGCACTCAGCCATAGCTGGAAGTCCTACTTCTGGTCTTGTATTATGTATACGTTTTTTTCTTTAGTCTCCTACAGTGATGGAAAATGTATATGTTCTGTCTCTGTTTTTTGGAGGGTAAATTTTTATTTTATAGTGGTCCCAAATGTGTGTGTGGGGGAGATATTCTTGAAATGCCCAGTGGTTTGTGGCTGTGCATTCATATTAAAAAATGAGAAAATCAAGAATGCTGGAAGTCAGCTAAAGGCTTGAATGAGGCTGACTTTTCTTTGGAGTGTATCCACACCCATACCGCCTTTCCTAGTTTTCTAGAATGTTAATGCATTTCTTCAAACACAACACTTGTCCCATATACTTATCCTTTTTCCTTACTTACAGATATTTAACCATGAACCAGAAAAAGACGAAGCACATACTTGCTTGTACAAAAAGGTAGTGGAGGGAGACTTGGTATATTTTAGCTTCACTTCTTACTCCACACTTCTGTCAGTGATTTCAAGCCATTCCCTTCCTTAATTGAAGCACTCTCTGTACATACTCTAGAGTTTGACTTTTCCTCCTCAGCTTCTTCTATGAATGCTCTTTCATGTGTCACTTTGTACAGATTTGTAGTGATGACTTTCTTAGTCTCTTCATTGTTACGGCTTATATCCTCTTCCCTAACCGCCAATACACGCCTTTATTTTCTTTTAAGGAGGTGTCTGAGGGAAAGGGGGGAATTGCATGCTGATTGGTCTTCCTAACCAAAAATTTGTCCACGTACAAAAAAAAATTTCAGTCACTCCCAACATGGGTTCAAACTCATGACCCCAAAATCAAGAGTTGCATGCATCAGCAGTGAAACCAATTAGGCACCCGGGTCCACATATTTTTTTTTAAAATGTTTTTTATATATTTCTAGGAGAGAGCGAGAGAGACAGCGTGAGCAGGGGAGGGTCAGAGAGAGAGGGAGTCACAGACTGAAACAGGCTCCAGGCTCTNGAGAGGGAGTCACAGACTGAAACAGGCTCCAGGCTCTGAGCTGGCAGTCAGCACAGAGCCCGACGCGGGGCTCAAACCCACGAACTGTGAGATCATGACCTAAGCGAAAGTCGGACGCTTAACCGACTAAGCAACCCAGGCGTCCCCGGGTCCACATATTTTTAAGCAGTTGCAGTGTGACGTGTGCATGCTGTCTTGGGTCCTGCTTTCACTTCACCATTTAAGCATTTTGTACATTGCCATACATCTTTATATTTCTTGTTTGTAGTAGTATATGAATTTATTTTTAAAGAAACAGTTTGTTGTGTCTTTATTACTATGGTGGCTTTTACATTTTAATTACTACCTCTTCTTTCTTTATTCTCCATCTCAGCATCATGCACATACCAATGATAACAACGTTGACAGTTTGTGAAACAGTAAATCTTATTTTTTTTCCCTTTGGTCAGCTGATTGGCTGAAAGCTATCAAGAAGGGCAATTGCCCTGGAACAGGCTGACATTGTCATCCAGACGGCAATTTTAGTTTTTTTATAGGTTTTCCAAGAAATCTTGTGATTTCAGCTATGGAGTATATAGATGATGTGTTTTATCTCTATTATGGTATCCTAGCTTTGATGTCTTCACACTAGTTCATAGATGGGACTGAACCATTCCTCTCTTTATAATTCCTCTTTTCCCTTTTGTTCAAATTCAATTCCCAGAGTGGCCAAGTTATCTCTGGGATGTCTGTCTGTTTTTGATGAAATAACAACTGGAAGTCAGCTCTGGGTAATGGATGTTAGTAATATTTAAGCACTTGCATATTAGACACCAGAGAAAGGCAAGAAATATGAGGACAGTCAATAAATGTCAAAAGAAGCTTTTGGAACCTTCTTTAGAGTAGATTTCTAGCCGACCTAGGCCTAACCAAGAGATCAGTTTTGCTGACTGAAGATAACAAAATAGTTTTTTTCTATTAAAGAATACATTTATTGTTTAACTTTTTCCTCCTTTTAGTAAGGCAACACAAAGAAATAAAAAGCATAGATTTTGGAACAAGGAAGTAGAACTCATTATTTGTGCATGATGTAAAGAAAAAATATAAGAATAATAATTTAGCAAATATCCTAGATAAAAACCTTCATATACAAAAATTATACCAATAAATATTTAAACAAAAAAATGAAAAGGTTTTTGCAAAGAGATACTGTTTATGCTAACATTAAAAATATGAAGTCTCTAGGAATACATCTTATATAATAAGAGCTATACAAAACTCCCTTGGGGAAAGTATTAAAGCATTATTGTGTGGCAGTAAGAACTCACTAAGTGGAATGATATGCCATACAGATGGCTTGGGAAACTCTTTGTTTTACAGATGCCCAGTTCAATCAGTGCAGTCTCAAATTCCTGTTTGTTTTGGTGGGGAAGGGGGAAAAGTGACAGCACATTTTAAGGTGATATGGAAAAACAAAGGGCCAGTTATCAAAAATAGCAACAGTATACTTTGATGGAGGGAAAGACAAATAGACTGGTGGAACCCGGCTAGTGAAAGTGTCATCTATGGCTCCATAGCATTGGTGACATTATCTAGAAGCTTCTCAGAAATACAGAAGCCCAGACCCCAACCCCCAGTCAACTGAATCAGAGTTTATTTTAACAAAATAATCCAGAAGAGTGAGAAAAAAATGGCTTTAACAAACTGTTCTGGAAACTAAATTGGTAACTAAACAGGATAAAAGTAATTGTATTGAAAGGCTTTGCTTGTACTGTGTGTACGTCCATCCTTTACTCTCTGTAATTTACATTTGTTTAGGAACATTTGAAAATCAGTGACAATGAAAGGAATGTTTTGAATGTATGTTTCTCTAGGTGTCTGCCTTATTCATGTTCCTGTAATCTATGGATCGTCTGGTTAATAAGTTTTTCTTAGGTATCCCAGCTTTAGCATGTCTTGATATATTTCCTATCTCTTGACTCATGCCTGTATGTCAGAACTTAATGAAAATACTGTCGCTACCATTGTAGACAAGTAATGTGACCATACCCCCTCCATTGTGACAGTGATTAAGTTTTATCTAATTTTTTTATCTAATTATTTTATAGGTGTATTTTTTATATGTTGGGAAAAAACTCAACTGAAGATAATAAAGAAAAGACAGCTCTTCCACTGACAATTTGGAAGAAAATAATTTCCCTTTATTTAGCATTGGAAGACCAGCTCATTCTTCGAGTCTTCTGAAACAAAATCAGGTAAGAAATGTTTTTCTTCATGTTTTGAATAATTTGTTCTCTTCCATGCTCTGTCTTGTTGAAGACTTCTATAATTCTATTCCTTTGGCCTCGAAGAGAAATACGGTTAGCATTTTCCTTTAGGAAGTTGGTGTGCCAGCCAGCTGTCAGCCTTATGATGTACCTGATCTCCGATGTCAGGGGAAGCACAATACAATTTTAAACTAAGTCTTCTGCACCACAGTGCAGTGGGGGTGCCAGCAGCTCTTTTTATGTACCTTGCTTTGAAATGCTGCCTTCTACCCAAACACTACAGTTTTATTTTTAAATCCTTTGTGTGAGATAAAACCACCACTAACTGACTTTCCATGTCTTTAGTTAAAAATCAATGAATTGAATGAAATAATCTGTAAGCATTTCTTAGCTACTCTTCCTGATTTCTAGAAAAGAAAGTCCCACTGCTTGTTTAACTTATGACTTGTCTAAACATGTTGAAAGCATTGACTATAAGGCATAACATTCAGGCTCTGAAAGGGAACTGTGACAAGTTTAGTCAAAAGGGAAAAGAGGAATAATTTATAAAAGGTGCTGCAGATAATGATGCCAGCCAGTTATTTTAAAATGCATCCATCTCACCTTTTAATGAATTAGATTTGTCAACAGCAAATGTTTTATGCACCGCTTCTAATAAAAGTGGCATGCTAGGAATGAGGTGCTTTGAGGTTGGCTTCTTCAAAGCTTTAGGAGTATCTTCAATTCAAAGGTATTTTTTAAATAATAGATATTAAAAAGTATATTTAAATAATATTAAGGTTGTGACACAAACACCACATGACAAAATTCAGGAGTTTCAAAGCAGACACTGACATGCCATCACTATTTCACATGGTACCTGTTTTTTAAATTAGGACAGCAACAGACTCATTTGGGGATTGTGTGTCAAGTTAACTTTAAACTCTCTGTTGTTTTGGTGGGTGTCACAACCTTAATGTCAGCTTTTCAAATAGGTTTCTACATTTCCTGTGGTTCGGGGTCATTAAAAACTGCATATGATATATCTGTGAGGCATAAATGGGTCACACTGGAGTGGAATTCATTGCTTCTCTGCTGTTGAAAGATAAGTAATGGCTGCCTCATAAGTGGACAAGTTAGCTCGGGCATTTTAGTGAATTTCTGGTTTTTCAGAAATTTGATTATGATCAGTAGACACCCAAATAACCAGATATGAGATTTTGATAGAATTCTATTCATAATCTCCTCTCTTCGTGCCTCTTCTCCTAACCATTGGATCTTGTTGGTTGTCACCTTTATAGATGTTGAGAATCACAGCCCCACGCTTGATTTTTTTTTTTTTTCCACTAAAAGTACAGGTAATTTCCTTTGGAACAATCCTTATTTGCTGTAGTTGAGTATGTGTAAAACTTGTCTTAAAACTTCATATGGCAGTCCTTTATATAAGCCCTTTTATGCAAATTTTTGGCAGGGTTAAAATCTTGTGTTTGAAAGTAACACTTCTTACAGAAACTAAAATGGAAAGTAAAATGTGATATGTTGTGTTGTGTGTTAAAAAATATTCTAGTACCCCACCACACTTTAAAGAGCAACTAGGAACATTCTACATGGAAAGGGCAAAAGAGGAGAGAGAGTTGGGAAAGAGTAATCTATTCATCCACATTCCTTTCTTCTCCTGGATTCTTACCTGTCATGATCTCACAGCTCAAGTCTGCATTGTCTGTGCTGAATCTGGTTTTAATTTAGAAAAATAAACAAATTAGAATCTGTCCCATAGTTGTCTTTTACATCAACTGTGTTAGAGATACAAAAGATTAAAAGAGAAGCAAATCACCTATTGATCTTTTCTTGCTCACTTAAAGATACTGACAGACCTATAACACTACATAATTCTCATCTCCTCCTTGATTGGACCACAAGGATTTACCCTTCCTGATTTTTAACAATGTCTCAGCAAACATTAATCTTCTCTAGTATACTCCATTCCATTCCCTCTATCTATTTTTCGAGCAGTGTTAAATTTTAGACATTTTTAATAGTTTTCATTTAGGATGATGTTGTGAAGTTTTATCTTCACTTCTAGTCCTGACTTTACTTTTCCTACTCAATGGACCCTCCCATATCACATCATTATTAACTCAGCATAATTCTGACAAGTAATATTCTTTCTAAGCCCTAGTCCTCAACAGGAAGAGAGAATTACACTGCATTGTGTAGTGGTTTGAAAATCTGTACATTTGTCTCTGAAGGTTTGGACTAAATCTTTTAAACTCAAACTATACTTAGTGTCCTTGTTTGAACAGTTCTTTTTTTCTTTAATAACAAATGCCCCCCCCCCTTTTTTTTTTTAAGATTTTATTTCTAGGGGCGCCTGGGTGGCTTAGTCGGTTAAGCATCCGAGTTTCGCTTAGGTCATGATCTCGCGGTTCGTGGGTTCGGGCCCCGCGTCGGGCTCTGTGCTGACTGCCAGCTCGGAGCCTGGAGCCTGTTTCAGTCTGTGACTCCCTCTCTCTCTGACCCTCCCCTGCTCACACTGTCTCTCTCTCTCTCTCTCCCCTAGAAATAAATTAAAAAAAGAAAAAAAAGATTTTATTTCTAAGTAATTTTTACACCCAACATGAGGCTCGAACTCAAAACCCCAAGACCAAGAGTCGCATGCTCTACTGGCTGAGCCAGCCAGGAACCAGTGAACCAATTTTTCACATCATGAATTTTTTTCATAATAATACTAATTCTGATATCTGTTTGATAAAAATGAAAAGTTTTAAGCAAAAATAAATGTTTCTAAATTCAGAGGAAGGTATTCAAATAAATGAATCAGTACTCACTGTATACCTACAATATAAAAAAGTTTTCTGCAGAAAAACGAAATATTCTCAAAAAAAAGAAAAAAGAAAAGAAAAACGAAATAGTCTCTTTAAATATTATAGGCCAAGCTGTTTTTATTCAAATTCATTTAGAGCAGTTTCAGATTTATGTATTTAATAAAACTGGATCTAACATGTATTTAATGTCCTTCAGTGTACAGTAATGTCCTAGTGACTGCCTGGGAAAGAATGATGAAATTTTATTTAGTGTTTCTGCTTTATCAGTCATTCCTATAAAAGACATTCTCATGGGATACAATATATGTTTTTAATGGTTTTCTCTGATGTTAAGAGTTAATATTTATTGGGGCGCCTGGGTGGCTTAGTCGGTTAAGCGTCCGACTTTTGCTTAGGTCGTGATCTCGCGGTTCGTGGGTTCGAGCCCCGCGTTGGGCTCTGTGTTGACTACCAGCTCAGAGCCTGGAGCCTGTTTCAGAGTCTGTCACTCCCTCTCTGACCCTCCCCTGCTCACGCTGTCTCTCTCTCTCTCTCTCCTAGAAATAAATAAAACATTAAAAAAAAATTTAAAAAAAAGTTAATATTTATTGAGTGCTTCCTATGTGCCGGTGACTATTGTACATACATTCATGGATTATCTCATGTAATCTTCATTACAGCACTTTAATGATCTTACTATTTTACAGATGTGGTAGAGGCTCACAAGAAGGTTGCAAAACTAGTAAGTAATGGAGCTGGAAGTCACACACCAGTAGCATTACTCCAAAGCTTGCATTCTAAACCCTCACTACTTAAAATGTGTTCCTTGGACCAGCAGGATCACCATTAACTGGGAACTTGTTACAAATGCAAAAATCACAGACCCCACCCCAGACCTAGTAAAAGTCTATATTTTTAACAAGATTCCTAGGTAATTAACATTTGAGAGCACAGTTCTAAACCACTATGCTCTCCTGCTTTTCTGTACATAATAAATTTTTTAAAACTAATTTCTATTTTTATCTACAGTGTAAGACTACATTCTCACCTTTATGCTGTTTTGGGTATTCCCTTTATGTATAAAGTGTATTATAATGAGATCTGACAAGTAAACACGAGCAGACATCCAAGGTTAGACCCAAGCTGTCTTGAAATCAATTGTATAAAGAATAGGGGGGAAGGAAAGGCAATGGGGCCAACATCCCAGAGTGTAAAGGGCAGGAGGTCTTTTCTTTCCACAAAAGCAGCTAACTACTCCAACACTTGAGCCTTTCTTACAATCACAGGGTAGCACACTGCCTTGAGCACACACTCTAGAGACCGCTGCAGTTTTGTGGGATCTCAGGAAAGTTAAACAGCCCTCTGCACTGTTTAGCTTTGCCATCAGGGAAATGAGGTCTAAAATAGTTCCCACTTCACAGGATTATCAGAATGATGAAATGAGTAATCCATGCAAAGGGTCTGGAACAGAGCCTGATATGAGGCAAGTGAATAAATGTTAGCTACTGTAGTTTATTGTTGCGATGATTTCCATCTTAGAATAGAATATATTCATATTATATACTTCTTGGTTCTCCGTTGGTAATAAATTGATGGATATTGTTGTTAGTGGAGCTCATCACATAAAGGAATATCTTTGCTCTTAGAGTCCAAACCACAAACTTCAATATTTGTAGTTTTCTGAAAAAATGTCTTGTTGAGGCACTTCCTGCTTGTGAGTTCTGCTAAATGACTTTTGATTGTGGTACTTAACCAGTTAAGTCCAGTGAAATCAGTTGAAAATAAAAATGAAATATGCTAAAAATTGAATTCTTAAACATATATGCTATTAAACTGAATAAAGAACAATGAGAATTATAAATCCATTTGGCTAACCAATAAAGAATATTTAGGGTGTCTGGGTGGCTCAGTCTGTTAAGCATCCGACTTTTGATTTTGGCTCAGGACATAATCCCTGGGTCGTGGGATGGAGCCCACATCAGGCTCTGCAATGAGTGTGAGGCCTGTTTAAAATTCTCTCTCTTTCTCTCTCTCTCTCTCTGAAAATAAATAAATAAAATTTAAGGAAAGAAAAAAAAAAAGGAATGTTTGTTTAAAGGCTGAATGCTCCAGGGGAGCCTGGGTGGCTCATTCAGGTAAATGTCCGACTTTGGCTCAGGTCATGATCTCGCGGTTTGTGAGTTTGAGCCCTATGTCGGGCTCTGT